AAACTTGCTTTTGTTGCTAGAATCAAACTTACAGTATGGGTCTGCTGCAGATGTAGCAGACAGGCAGTCCGTTCGGATTCGGGTGATCGGAAAGGTTACCTGAAATGAATCAAATAAGTTACCCCAAGATCAAACTGTGCATTTACCTCTTGGTCTATTTCCTTCTTCTTCCTTAAGATAGCGTAAAGTTTCGCTGCGCAGGTAGGCAGGTTGATCGCCGTTGTGTCGAGGAACATTGGGACTGAAAGGGAACAGCTTACTATTGTAAACATAGTAATAGTCCTTCATTGTCAAAATGGCAATTGTGTAATTGCATAGACACCTGTTGTATCTAAGTTCAAATGTCAGTTTTGAAAGAAGCAGCGAGAGTTAGATAATATTCAACTTTGCAATACAAAATTCAATATAACGCAATTCTAATCACATCTCCAAGTTGAAGGAATGGTGCAAGGCTAAATCTTATCGGTACTATCTTCTTACAGCTATCTAGATCTTTTCCAAATTACTAGCAATCTTTACTGCACAAGCTTGTGATGATGAAAATATCAACAAAGTTTGCAATGTGGATGATAATCTACAAGTGATTCTATGCAGATGTCGATTGAAAATAAGGCGCTAAACAACAGAATTCTAACTGAGGATACCACAATAATTGAACTTCAAGAAAAAGCAGAAAACTTCGACATTAGAGCAAGTGAAGCGTTAGCTGTGTCACTGAGAATTCCAATGCTATAATTACAATTTCCAATCTCACATGGCTTCCTCCAGTTCACAGGATATAGTGTAACCGAATTCATGAGGGTACTATTAATAAAGAAACAAGAAGTACATTTCTTGCATTCTCAGTTTGGATTTTATATATGCGGATGTTGAGCGCTAATGAGAAGATGACTGATTTCCACAACATCTTGTTCTGTGATCATGAAATTGCAACAATCGCTTCCATTACGGTTTTTGTGAAATGAATCTAAGATTCTGCACTATATGACGCTCGTTGAGACACAAAAAACGTGAAAACGTGACTCCCCTCACCCAAACAGCTAGGTTCTGCGTTTTGAATTCAGCACGATTTGAGGCATACATTCGCAAAAATGTAAAGGAAGACTGAAGCAGTTTTGGTGGGAAAAGCGAGTTTTTACAGAATGACGATGGCTCTTCACGGCTAGTTACTAGTGAAAAAAGAATGATTTGCTCTACAATGCCACCAGTTCATATCACATAATTTGGGCTTTCCGCACTTTCAAGTGGTCCATTTTGTGCTAGGAGACTAAAATTGCAAAAAACGAGCCAGTAATGAGACTGTACCCTCGATGTATGAGTATATCTTGCAAATTGAAAATCTATGATGCGGGACTTCGGGACACTTACTACAAATCGGTCAGAATCCAGCAAGTGTGACCTGCTCAATTTCGGGCTTCATGTTTTGTCTATAAATGGTGCTACAAATATATGTTGTCCCAAACGTTCTCCGTTTTCTCAACCTATCATAGTAACTGGCGATTAATGCGTGGTTTTCCAAGCATTTTTTCAGACAATTAGACTCCTTATTCCTAACATGCATTTTGCACACAGTTCGAACGCTCCGTTAAACCAGACTTTTAGCCTTATCGGTTCGAAATTTTACAGAAAACGCGCAGAACTCCGCACTAAAATCGAAATCTCAAAGTATTCAAATTCTTGACCAGCCCTAAGCAAATAATTGCTTTCTTTTGAAAACGTAGCTGTCCATGGGCCAGATATTTTCTTTACATTTATTAGCTTACTTTAATTACTCAGACAATGAAGTCGACGCATGAAGTGGGTTGCCCCTGCGGGCATCCTATGGTACATAGGGTTCCGAAAGATGCAAATACCACAGCTTGGCTCATTTTTGTCAGCTTGAGGGTGGATATTTTCAACAAATTTGGAAAAATCCAGCTCTCTATTGCACGAGAGAGGCATTTTCATTGTGCCTTTTAGTGTTACCATAAATAACTTCAAAGATGGACATTTATAGATTTCCTTTTGTTTTCGCAAAACATCTTAGTCAATGCCCTTTTTACGTGTACTATTGGTTTGCCGCTATAAAAAAACTGTTTACTAGTCGTGACAACAAAATCGAAGCAAGTTGTGATTCGCCGAAGGAGTAAGCGCATGTTTTTTTCAGCAGCATCAGCATATAAAAGGAAAAAATCTGCATCGAATAATGTTTGGAGTATTTGCTCATCTTCATTGAGGTTTTTCTAGTAATAGGCTGAAAGAACGGAAGGAACTTATGAAACGAGCTGATAAAGTACATGATCCTCAGAGATCATAAATTGCCTCACGAACAGTTTACTACTGACCAGGCCAACTTGCTCATTTTCAAGCGCGAAATATAAACTTCAATGGTAATGATTTGTTCAAAATGCACGGGCGCTGATACGAAAAAAAAACTGACAAAAAAAGTGGACCACAGGCACGCAAATACTACGTAAGTTCTGCAAATTTAGGATATGAACCCATTTTAGAACTGTTATGTTAAAGGAGTCTATAGCTCTGACATGAAAATACATTGTTAGTTTGCGCCCATTGACCTACCAATCAAGAATCATTTGCGTTTTCCTACACCTTTCAATTGGTATACTCCTCAGATCCCTTAGCTGCTGCAAATAGTGACGTTGCAAATGTTTTTCGTGGCTTTAGTTTTAATCAAAAAATATTGACTGAGAGAGGTTGAGTGGCATTTTTTGGAAAAAGGCTCTGTGAGATTTCCAAGACTCAGAAACCTATGCCGGAGGTCGGTTTCGGCTGCATTTCTTGTATCCTTCATTGATTTTGTTCTCTAAGCTTTCCAGCCGAGAGTTCAAACAGTAGCTACCATATCC